CAACGTGACGCGTTCCTGTGGCACCGTGACGCGTTCCTATGGCAACGTGACGCGTTCCTATGGCAACGTGACGCGTTCCTATGGCAACGTGACGCGTTCCTATGGCAACGTGACGCGTTCCTATGGCAACGTGACGCTTCCATCTGAAAACGAAGCCCATTCCCAATGGCTCCGTGACGCGTTCCTATGGCAACGTGACGCGTTCTCGTCGCAACGCGATGCTTATACCTGAAAACGACACACCTCCCCATGGCCACGCAGCGCCTACCCATGGCAACGCGGCGCCTCCCCATGGCAACGGCGGCGCATCCTCATAGCAACGCGACGCTCACACCTGAAAACAACACCCCTCCGCCTAGGGCAACGCGGCGCGTTTCCATAGCAACGCACTCGCCGCCACCACGCGGCGCCGCATACTCACTGCGAGTTGGTTTCGGGCGGCGGCAGGTCGCCGATAGTCGTCAGCGTCAGCGTCGACCAGTACAAGCAGGCGAGGTACTTGCGTCGCAGCGTCGCGAAGACACCGACGGGCGTCGGGTACGTCCAGCGGCCGACGAAGTTCTCCGAGACGGAGATGGTGTAGTAGAAACCGGCGAACCAGTGCGCTAGCAGCAACAGGATGTGGATGAGATTGACTACGCGCCACAGATTCGGAAACGCCGACCGCGACTCGATGTTGTAGTAGAGGCCGACGGCGCGGTAGGCCTTCAAGTAGCGCGGGAAGCGCAGCATTGGATGTCGCTCGGCCGTCCACAGCTGCACGAGGTCAAGCGGGGTCAACGACAGGACGTCGACGATGACGTGCTTCGAGCGCAGGTAGTGCGCGGCGAGCTTACGTGCGTCAGTGATAACGATGCCTTGCTCCAGGTAACCGGTGCGCACCTGCACGAGAATGTCGAGCGCGTATATCGCGTCGGCGCAGCCGTCGAGTACGTACCAGGCGAGCTGGTACTCGCGCTGCAACTCGGGGAAGGATTCCCGTGCGATGCACATCCACACGTTGTAGAGCACGGCGCTAGTGAGCACGAGCAACCAGTAACCCATGAACGTCGAGTCGGTCGTGATGACGCCGAACAGTCGACGTAGCAGCTTCGCGCGGCATCGCGCCAGACGCGTGCCCTCCTGCCGACTGCGATGCCGCTCGATGTCGCCGGCGTCGTCGGCCTGCTGACGCGTCGAGAAGCGAGCCATGAACGAGTCCTGCCGGCTCAAACCGCCGCCCGTTTTCTTCATGCGTCGCTTCTTCGTGTCGAGCGACGACGCCATCGCGCTCGTGACGGCGACGCCTTGCCGCACCTTCCTCCAGCTCGTGCGCGCCGGAGAACCATTGCCGACGACGACGACGGCGGCGGCTGCCGACGAGGTCGTCGTCACGAGCAGCTTCTCGCGTTCTTCGGGCGTCGCCTCGTCGCCGTCTCTGACGCGTGACGGCGACGACGACGACGGCGTCGGCTGGTCGGCAGCGCACGACACCATTGCTTCCGTTGTGGCGGATGCGGGCGACGTATCGACCTGTGTAAGGATATCGTGATTAAGATCATTGGTTATTAACGAGCGACCGATAACATTAATTATACATTATCGTCGTGTATCGCTGCGGCTATATATATATATATATATGTGTGTGTGTGTGTGTGTGTGTATGTGTGTGTGTGTGTGTGTGTGTGTGTGTGCGTGTGCGTGTGCGTGTGCGTGTGTGTGTGGTGTGTGGTGTGTGTGTGTGTGTGTGTGTGTGTGTGTGTGTGTGTGTGTGTGTGTGTGCGTGTGTGCGTGCGTGTGTGTGCGTGCGTGTGTGTGTTGTGTTTTGTGTGTGTGTGGGCGCGCGTGTGTAGTGTGAGCGCGCGCGTGCGTGTGTGCGTCCAGTGGGCATATACGAAGGTTTAATGGCGCATGTGTCAAGCGGGTAGGTATACCGACAGAGAGAAGTGCTGGTGCGGTATATCTGCCTAGAACGCCAGAGAATCTTCTGCATGTGAAGCCCTCTCTTCGCATAAGCTCCTTTGTAACTGCAGTCGCCTATCGGCTAAGCCAGACGGCCTAGCAGGTTTGGACTGCGTTAAGTCCTTAAATTATTTCCACGGATTTCGGCAGCTAGCCAAACGCTGATATCGTTTTGAGACGTCGCCCGGCTGACGTCTTCATTCGTAGAGAGCTCCTCCTTCCGGTAAACATAAATCGAGCGCGAAATAGGCGAGCAATGAACGGCTTGTGAGACGAATCCAGCGAGCACGACGTTAGGCTTTCTGTAACAGCGAATATCAAGATGACGGGCCCACCTTTGCTGTTTAATTACTATGTTATAATCTATAACGTCACAAACGTTCATTTTCATGCTGAAGTAATCAGGATAAATCATAAATCAGTAATACGCACGCTGACAGGTACGACTAAATTTGACCGCATTTATTAATTTCTCGATTTACTCGAGAGCTAGAGACGATGGTTTTCACCAGCACCAGGCGCACCTAATCCATCCTCCCGCTCACGTGTCAGCTCGGCGTGTCCGTATGAAGTGCGTATATATAGGGTGATTACTACGATTTAATTCGGACCGACATGAACAACGACGTCGTCGGATCTGACGCGCTAAACGGCCGTCGCAGTGATTTCCTGCCGCCACGTCCGCGCGTCGGCACTTAAATAGCTTCATTTTCGCGTAGTATACGTATTTCAGTCGGTAGTATCGGCCAGTATCGCGATACTTTGTGCGATTTAATAGCGGCAATCTTGTCGATTGGTGTCGCCGTCAGTCGCAAATCTATTATCTCGAAGTGTGATGGGATCTGATTCCTGTCGCTAATGGCGCACCAATCAGTGCACGTGTCGGTAACGTGTCGCGACGTCATCGCGTCACGTGGCATCCCTGCGCAGAAAAAAAGAATTCGCCAGGATAGGCGTAGAAAATTACGGGAAGGAACCGTGGTGATTTAACGGTGGCCCGCACCGTGGTGATTTAAGCGTGAAAGATCGCTGTTAGCTGGAAATTCACGGTTTTGGCTTCGCTCGCTGCAATTTAGAAGCGTTTCATGCGAGAAATTCCAAAGGTGCCAATTTCATTTGGGAAACCGCACTGGCTACCTGACTTCAATTGGCACGTCGAGTCCCGAGGACATCATATAAATTCCGATGAAATTTATAGCGCGCGTCTCTTTTTCTCGTGCAATAAAAACAGTCAGAGAGGAGAGGCAGGCAAGAGAGTCAATGCAGAGGCGGCAAAACTGTACGTGATATCATGATGACGTCAGCTCTGTTCTTCGTACGCTGGGAGTATTTTTAAGCATACTGTTATAGCGACTAGGCTGTCAGAAAAAACTTGTCGCGGCATCAGTCTTAACATGAACTTTTACTCAAAGACTGTTAGCAAAAACATTGTAGTTTTACATTACACACATACGTAGTGTATAGAGGTCACGTCGACGAGGAAAAAATCCTGTGAAGATTGATGTCAGATCGAAGTTTGTGTCTGACAACGGGAACCGCTTCTTCAAGTGCGAGAATGTCACGTGGTTGAGCAATAACGTTGAGTGGTTAAAGTTCAAGGCAACGATACAACACGTATCTGCGTTCGGTAAACATTCTGTCAGCTAAAATGTACGTAGTTTGAGCGATTTTTAATAGCTGCTGTCGGTAATGAAATCTGATCAATCAGGTCATCACTATCATCATCATCATCCTCATCATCATCAACATCATCATCAATCATTTTTAACTACGTGCACGAGTGATATTGCACACGTGAAACAATGTATATACATGATCAATTTGCGTTTCCAGGTTAAAACAATACCACTGTGCTTATTTGTATAACAAACACGTCAATTTCCACGAGCACCATTGAACCTGATCGCGAGTGAGATGACGTAATAATCTGTTGCCGGGGCACGGCAGGATACACGGGCAGTAAGTGTATGCTTACAATATGCAAACACTAGACAGCGCAAATAGCCGTGTCAAGTTACGAGAGATGCTTACAGTCATTCGACCCTGGTTTTAGTTCATTGAATTCTTTTCCGATTTTGCTCTTATTATTTGCTTTAATTAGATGCAGAGCTGTATGACGCCTGCTATCGGCTCTGTGCACATTGTACTGAAGTCCTTTCCGCATCGGTAGCCTTACAGAATCTCATGTCTATGCACTCACATTCCATCGGCGCGTAAGGCAACCCGAGATGTGGGGGAAAATCGATGGGATATACGGCAGGCGATTTATTACGATATCGATTATCATCGAACGTAATTATCGGGTGTGGAGAGCACGCTGAGATTTTATATTGGAAAGCGACGGACACATATACGCGTGGATGAATGCACGCACGCACGCACGCATGCATGTACAGAAACGCACGCACGCACGCATGCACGCACGCACGCACGCCCGCTCGCACGCTCGCGTGCACAGAAACGTAAGCACGCACACGCACGCACACACACACCACACACACACACCACACACACACACACACACACACACACACACACACACGCACTCACACGCGACACACGCACATAACGAACGCATGCACAGAAAAGCACGCACGCACGCACGCACGCACGCACGCGCGCACACATATACACACACACACACACACACACCACACACACACACACACACACACACACACACACAACACACACACACAGTCGTACAGAGGTACTAACGGCCGTTTGTTCTTTTTACATAGGGTTGTTGCTATTATAGTCGGTTGGTTCATATACACACGGTTGTCTCTATGTTATTGATGGTTTCGAATGCACATGGTTGTTCCTATGTTATCGGTTGTTCGTTGTATACACGCGGTTTTCTTATTCACATGAACGGTTTTTCAAAAGATGATTGTATTCTCACAATACATGTTTATATTATTTATCGGTTGTTTGTATACATACGTTTTTTCATATAAACATGGCGCTGTTCATTCACAACGACTCTTATTTCATGCTAGCTCTCACATCGTGTTCACGCCTGCGTCGTCTTCACTGTAATTATCTTTAATATCGATGACATTTTTCGATCGTTACTATCTGTTGTGAATTTTCCTCGCCTTTCATGACATGCGCACCGGACGCCTGAACTGGGCGTGAGTGTGTCGAGTGTGTGTGTGTGTGTGGTGTGTGTGTGTATGTGTGTGTGTGTGTGTGTGTGTGTGTGCGTGTGTGCGTCGTGTGTGTAGCGTGCGTGTGTGTTTGTGTTTTGTGTGGTGTGGCGCGCGTGTGTAGTGTGAGCGGCGCGTGCGTGTATTGCGTCCATGTGGCATATACGAAGGTTTAATGGCGCATGTGTCAAGCGGGTAGGTATACCGACAGAGAGAAGTGCGTGCTGCGGTATATCTGCCTAGAACGCCAGAGAATTTCTGAATGGTGAAGCCCTCTTTCGCATAAGCCCTCCTTTGGACTGCAGTCGCCTATCGGCTAAGCCAGACGGCTAGCAGGTTTGACTGCGTTAAGTCTTAAATTATTTCCAGGATTTCGGCAGCTAGCCAAACGCTGATATCGTTTTGAGACGTCGCCCGGCTGACGTCTTCATTCGTAGAGAGCTCCTCCTTCCGGTAAACATAAATCGAGCGCCGAAATAGGCGAGCAATGAACGGCTTGTGAGACGAATCAGCGAGCACGACGTGGTTGCGCAGCGTCATCAATCATTGCTTCCTGGGCGTGTGCGTGTTGTGAGTGCGTTCGTGCGTGTATGTGCGTGTATGTATGTGTGTGTGTGTGTATGTACGTGTATGTATGTGTGTGTGTGTGTGTGTGTGTATGTGCGTGTGTGGTGGCGTGTGTGTGTGCGTGTGGTGCTGGCGTGTGTGTGCGTGTTGCGGTGGTGCGTGTGCCGTGTGCGTGTGCGTGTGTGTGTGCCGTGTGCGTGCGTCGTGTATGTGCGTGCTGGTATGTGCGTGCGCGCGCGCGTGTGTGAGTGTGTGTGTGTGTGTGTGTGTGCTGTGTGTGTGTGTATGTGTGTATGCCGTGTATGTAATGTGTGTGTAATATAAATATATATATACTGTGTATGTGTGTGTGTGTGTGTGTGTGGTGTGTGTGTGTTGTGTGTTATGTATGTATGTATGTATGTGTGTGTATGGGTGTGTGTGTGTGTGTGTGTGATGTGTGCTGTGTGTGGTGTATGTATGTGGTATATATATATATATATGATATATATATATAATATATGATATATGTGTGTGTGGTGTGTGTGTTGTGTGTGTGTGGATAGTGTGGTGTGCGTGTGTGTGCTGTGTAGTGTGTGTGGTTGTGCTGGTGTGTGTGTTGTGTGTTGTGCATGGTGTGTATGTATGTTGTGTGTGTATATATATTATATATATATGTGTGTGTGTGGTGTGTGTGTGTGTGTGTGTGTGGTGTGTTGCTGTGTTGTTGCGTGTCGTGTGTGGTGTGTGTGTGCTGTATATGCGCACGTGTGTGTGCGCCTCGACATACAGTCAATGAATGGAGCGATATCATGGACCATAAAACTGAATGCCGCAGAGAGGCAACGACGTCAAAACGCTTTTCTATACGGTAGAAACAGCAGCACTGCTAAACGTTCAAAACGCTTAAGGAATGATGCGCTAAACCGCAAAACAATTTGAATGCAAACACGTATTCCCTTCGTAATTCGAATCAGCAAATTCTGTGTTTACCCGCGTCATACAATTCTCTAACAGCAAAGCACACGCCCCCATCAAACGGACCTCAACGCAACGCGTAGCCGCGCACTTCAACGTGTTCCCATAGTAACGCGACGCCTGCCCGTGGCAACGCGACGCTTCCATTTGATACCGAAGCTCTCCCTCATGACAACGCGGCTCCTCTCATGGCAACGTGACGCTCCCACCTCAAAAACAACACCATTCCCAGTGGCAACGTGACACTTCTATCTGAAAGCGAAACCCATGGCACCGTGACGCGTTTTCTATGACAACGTGACGCGTCTATATGGCACAGTATACGGTGCGCGTTCCCTATGGCCGCAACGTGACGCCGTTCCTGTGGCCAACGTGACGCGTTCCTATAGCAACGTGACGCGTTCCTATGCACATGACGCGTTCCTATGGCAACATGACGGCGTTCCTATGCGCAACGTGACGCGTTCCTATGCAACTGACGCGTCCTATGGCAACATAAGACGCGTTCCTATGGCAACGTGACGCGTTCCTATGGCAACGTGACGCTCTCGCATCTGAAAACGAAACCCATTCCTAATGGCACCGTGACGCGTTCCTTTGGCGCAACGTGACGCGCGTCCTCATGGCAACGTGACGCGTCCTATGTCAACGTGACGCGTTCCTATTGCAACGTGACGCTTCTATCTGAAAACGAAGCCATTCCAATGGCCCGTGACGCAGTTCCTATGAAACGTGACGCCGTTCTCGTCGCAACGCGATGCTTATACCTGAAACGACACACCTCCCATGCCACGCAGCGCGCCTACCATTGGCAACGCGGCGCCTCCCCATGGCAACGGCGGCGCATCCTCATAGCACGCGACGCTCACACCTGAAAACACACCCCTCCGCCTAGGCAACGCGCGCGCGTTTCCATAGCACGCACTCGCGCGCCACCACGCGGCGCCGCATACGTCACTGCGAGTTGGTTTCGGGCGGCGGCAGGTCGCCGATATCGCTCAGCGTCAGCGTCGACCAGTACAGCAGGCCGAGGTACTTGCGTCGCAGGCGTCGCGAAGACACCGAGCGGGCGGCGGTACGTCCAGCGGCCGACGAAGTTCTCCGAGACGGAGATGGTGTAGTAGAAACGGCGAACAGTGCGCTAGCAGCAACAGGTTGTGGATGAGATTGACTACGCGCCACAGATTCGGAACGCCGACCGCGACTCGATGTATGTAGTAGAGGCCGACGCGCGGTAGGCCTTCAAGTAGCGCGGAAGCGCAGCCATGGATGTCGCTCGGCCGTCCACAGCTGCACGAGAGTCAAGCGGTGGTCAAACGACAGGACGTCGACGGTGACGTGCTTCCGAGCGCAGGTAGTGCGCGGCGAGCTTACGATGCGTCAGTTGATAACGATGCCTTGCTCCAGGTAACCGGTGCGCACCTGCACCGAGAATGTCGAGCGCGTATATCGCGTCCGGCGCGCAGCCGTCGAGTACGTACCAGGCGAGCTGGTACTCCCGCGCTGCCAACTCGGGAAGGATTCCCTGCGATGCACATCCACACGTTGTAGAGCACGGCGCTAGTGAGCACGAGCAACAGTAACCCATGAACGTCGAGTCGGTCGTGATGACGCGAAGCAGTCGAGCGTAGCAGCTTCGCGCGGCATCGCGCCAGACGCGTGCCCTCCTGCCGACTGCGATGCCGCTCGATGTCGCCGGCGTCGTTCGGCCTGCTGACGGTCGAGGAAGCGAGCATGAACGAGTCCTGCCGGCTCAAACCGCCGCCCGCTTTCTTCATGCGTCGCTTCTTCGTGTCGAGCGACGACGCCATCCGCGCTCGGTAGACGGC